AGGGTCTAGACCCGAAACGTCAGCTTTCCTGCTCCTCTGATGCTGCTTGGCCTGCTGTGTTCATCCAGCTCTACACCTTGTTATCTCAGATTCTCCAGCGTCGGCAGTTCCTACTATCTCTGCAAATAAAACTAGTTTGCTAATCATAGTTAAACAATGTAAGAAGGAAAAGAACCAGGGCAACAAATATGCCTTATGATTTTGAAAGAGCTTTAATTGCTCAGTTTGGTTGAGCAGAGATGTGTAATTCATGTCAGGCAATTTTGTTTTACATTGTGCTGAGAGGTTTGGGGAAATGAGAGGCTCTTGTGAAGCAGACTTGCATCTCAAAGCACTATTAGAAGCATTTCTAAATAAACTGGTTACATTCTGCAAACTCTTTTTCTACATTATAATTGCATGATCTATTTGCAAGTTTATACCTGCTCAGTCCTGGATTGACTGCCTTTAACCAGCGTGAAGTTCAACAGTAGGGTGAAATCTTTGATCAACAACATCCCCAAATTCACAGACTGCACCATTATTGCCAAGTTCGCCTTCAAATCCTACACAATCTTGACCTGAATGTATGTCATCATACGTTTATCACCACATGGACAAAATTCTCAGACTCTGTAACTAATAACATTGTGGGAGCCCTTTCACCACCCCCCCTTCCACACACATACATACAGTGTTCAAGAAGGTGGCTCACCACCACCATCTTCTCAAGAGGCTAGGAATCAGCAGCAAATTACAGTCTAGGCAGCAACACCCATTGTCTTATGAATCAAAAATGGCAGGAGGTCCACTACCATTCTAGTAGCAGACTGGCAGTGGGGGGTGGTGGAGATTATATGAGATCCAATGATTGATATGGAATTCCAGCATCAGAATAGGATGGCTTGTCAACCATGGGCCAATTGGGACCTTAAATTGTCACTTTGAGGCCCCTTTGCCACCACTGGAAGTTTACTGTCAGCTGAAGGGTGGGGTGGCCACACCATGTCATGAGATACATCCAAGCAACCTGAGTGGAGTTCCACACTGTTTCTGCTATCACGCCTTGAAGAGTTATCCCTAGCCTTTTGATCACCCCCTCAACTGTGGCACTGCCTGTTTTAAGAGACATGATCATGATATCAAAGCATATGGCCTGAGGGTATAAAGATCTCGTACTTCATTTTACACAGATCACTTGAAGCACAACGCTCCGGTAGAACCATGCTCCTCTGCTATAAGTTATTAGTTTTTAATCTTGAAACCCACCACTCTAGGGAAAAGACACTTGCTATTCACCTTATCTATACCCATGATTTCATGAATCTCTATAAAGTCACCCCTCAACCTCCTACACTTCAGTGAAAAAAGTCCCAGTCTATCCTCATAATTCAAACCTTTAATTCCTGCAACATCTTGATAAATCTCTTCTGAACCCTCTCCAGCTTAATAATATCCTTCCTATAAACCGGATGACCAGAACTGGACATAGAGTTACTTAGAAGAAAACTCCAGAAGCAGAAGGTTTTGGAGGGGTCAGAGAGGAAGACCTCCTACAAGGCTGTTGAAGATGAAAGTATCTGGAAATAATAGTGAGCTGAGTTAACAGCTTGCTTCAAGGTCTAAGGAAGAGAATTAATTGAAAATAGCAATGACTTAATGTTCAAAACTTTGCTTAAAAAAAAGGATAATGATTACAACTGTTTCAGCTGAACAAGGAGCTTTAGTGTGGACAAGAAGCAAAGATCTGCAGATTCTGGAATTCTGAAACAAAACCAGAAATTGTTAGAGAAACTCAGCAGGTCTGGGAGCATCTGGGGAAAGAAAGCAGAGTTAACATTTTGGGTCCACTGAACCTCTTCAGAAGACCCTTCCTGTTTCTGTTTTTGCATCGCCATAGAACTAACCCTTCACTGAAGTTTGAGTATCTGAAAGGTTATAGTTGAGTGATAAGGTGTGAATCTTTCTTTGATATTTTTAATGAGTTCATTCTAATAGTTCTTGTGTAGTGTAACTGAGTTTTCTCCCCCTTTTGTGCAATAAACGTTTACGTTCTTTTGATAATGTACATTGGCAGCCTCATGTGAATATATTCAGTAAGTGACTCTGATAAACTTGCAGTCTATCAAGCCAATTCTCATTCTGGGATCTAAACCCTCTAGTATTACCATAAGTTAGGCTCATTAGCAGGGAGGTGATGGCCTAGTGTTGTTGTTGCTGGACTAGAAATCCAGAGATCTAGGTAATGCTCTGGGGACATGGATTCAAATCCCACCATGGCAAATATTGGAATTTGTAAATCAGTAAAAAAAATCTGGCATGAAAAGTCTGTTGATGAACATGAAGCTATTGTTTATTTTTATAAAAACCCATCTGGCTTATTAATGCCTTTTAAGGAAAATTGCTCTTCTTACCCAGTCTGGCTTACATGTGACTCCAGACTCACAACAATGTGATTGACGATGAAATGGTCAGGCAAGCTGTATCAATTGCTAGAAAGGAATGAAGCCAGATAGACCACATGGCACCACAATACACCAGAATTGACAATGGCAAACACAGCCAACCCTAGCAACTCTGCAAAGTCCTCTGGGGGCTTGTGCCAAAATTAGAGGGGCTGCCTCACACACTCATCATGCAACAGCCTGATGTAGCCTCAGACACCACCATCACCATTCCTGGAGAGGTCCTGTCCCACCAGCAGGACAGAATCAGTAGAGGTGGTGACACAGTGGTATGCAGTTGGGAGGGAGCTGACTGCAGAGTTCCCAACGTTGACTCTGGACCCCATGAAGTCTCATGACATCAGGCTAGGCCTGGGCAAGGAAACCTCCTGCTACAGGGGAAAATACGGCAGCTCAGTGGTTAGCACTGTTGCCTCATAGTGCCAGGGACCTGGGTTTGATCCCAGCTTTGGGTGACAATCTGTGTGGAGTTTGCACATTCTCTCCATGTCTGTGTGGGTTTCCTCCAGGTGCTTCAGCTTCGTCCTACAGTCCAAATATGTGCAGGATGGGTGGATTAGCCATGGGAAATGCAGGGTTACAGGGAAAGGGTAGCGGGGTGGGTCTGAGTGGAATGCTCTTTGGAGGCTTTGTGTGGACTTGATGAGCAGAATGGCCTGCCTCCACACTGTAGGGATTCTATGATGACCACATACCGTCCTCCCTTGGCTGATGAATCAGTACTCCTTCAAGTTGAAAAATGTTTGGAAGAACCACTGAGGGTGGCAAGGATGCAAAATGTACTCTGGGTGAGGGATTTCAATGCCCACCACCAAGAGTGGCTCGGCATCAGTACAACTGATCGAGCTGGTCGGGTCCTAAAGGACATAGCTGCTAGACTGGGTCTGTGGCAGGTGCTGAGAGAACCAACAAGAGGGAAAAATATACTTGACCTCATCCTTACCAATCTGCCAGCTGCAGGATCATCTGTCCATGACAGCATCAGTAACAGTGACCATCACACAGTCCTTGTGGAGACAAAGTCCCGTCTTCACATTGAGATCAACCTCCATCGTGTTGTGTGGCACTATCACCGTGCTAAATGGAACAGACTTCGAACAGATTTAGTGACTCAAAACTGGGCATCCATGAGGCACTGTGGACCATCAATAGCAGCAGAATTGCACTCCAGCACAATCTGTAACCTCATGGCCCGGCATATCCCCCACTCAACCATTACCATCAAACCAGAGGATCAACCCTGGTTCAATGCAGACTATAGGAGGGCATGACAGGAGCAGCACTAGGCATACCTGAAAATGAGGTGTCCTCAACCTGGAGAAGCCACCAAATAGGACTACTTGAAGGCCACAACGTAAGCAGCAAGTGACAAACAGAGCTAAGCAATCCTACAACCAATGGATCAGATCTATGCTCTGCAGTCCTGCCACATCCAGTCATGAATGGTGGTGGACAATTAAACAACTCACTGGAGGAGGAGGCTCCATAAATATCCCCATCCTCAATGCTGGAAGAGCCCAGCACATCAGTGAAAAAGATAAGGCTGAAGCATTTGCAGCAATCTTCAGCCAGAAGTGCCGAGTGGATGATCCATCTTGGCCTCCTCCAGTGGTCCCCAGCATTACAGATACCAGTCTTCAGCCAATTCAATTCACTCCACGTGATATCAAAAAACAGTTCGAGATACTGGATAGTGCAAAGGCTACGGGCCCTGACAACATTCTGGCAATAGTACTGAAGACTTGTGCTCCAGAACTTGCCGCTCCCCTAGCCAAGCTGTTCCAGTACAGTTACAACACTGGTATCTACCCGACAATGTGGAAAATTGCCCAAGTATGTCCTGTACACAAAATGCAGGACAAATCCAACCCGGCCAATTACCGCCCCATCAGTCTCCTCTCAATCATCAGTAAAGCGATGGAAGGTGTCAGTAACAGTGCTATCAAGCAGCACCTGCGCAGAAATAACCTGCTCAGCAACACCCAGTTTGGGTT